GGGGGGGGGGGAAAGCCTGCCTTGGTTCAATGCCTGTATCCAACAAATCAACGGTAGGAGGTTTCAAAACTAAAATTTATATCCAGATGCTAACTGTTTGCCAAAAGGCAAATTAGCTAATTATATAATGAACATGAAGTGCCTCATAAGCAGTTGCGCAGGGCTTGGCAGCTCTGTCTTCCAAAGTAAGGGAAGCAAATTCCCCTGCAAAACCAGCCTGAGCTTGGCCCCAGCCATGCTAATAACTGTTTGGAGGCATCAGATTGTAAAAGCATCAGATAGGATCCTTCTTGTCTTTTCTGTTAATGTTGCGTCTGTTTGCTGACTGTCTCCCTCTCTGTAATTTTCTGGAAATAATAAAAAAAAGAGAACAGATTTTGATTACTACCAAATTCTTCCTGCAAGAGCATTTGCAGAGCTCATATTGAGGGTGCCATCTACTGGCTCACAGAGCTGGTGACACCGGGCAGCAAAGGGTTTCTACCTGGAAATCCCAAGGCAGCAGCTTCTGTACCTTATGCCTTTCAGATTCTGCACAATCTCACCGTGCTCTACAGGCAGACAAACAAAATCTGAGAGAGGAAATACTGGGAGTTTATTTTTCTTTGGTTTGTTTCTTGTAATTTCGGTGTTTCACATTATGATAAAACGTGTATGAATTAGTTTCAGTTTCAGAAAAAAATGAGCTGGGGCTCAGTGAGATTAAAATCAAGAGGTCTTTGCAGACTTGGAGTTTACTGATGGTGCTCCTGCTTAAGATCTGGGCATGAGCTTCTCATAGTACTAATTTATTTTTTTTTTTTAATAGAATATCATGTACTGTAAACATCAGGCAGAGAATACTTAATTACAACCCCATAACACTCCCAAGAGGAGATATGTCAGAGTTTTATAGGTGGAGGATTTCAGAAGCAAGTCTGAGGGATGTGTTTGAGCCAAGCGTTGGAGCGGGGACACAGCCAGCTCTGCTCTAGTCTCTCGAGTCTGATCAGCTCTCCAGCCTGGTGCCTTCTGAAAATCTGTTGGGAAGTGATTTTGCTTTGACACCAACATGAAATACAAAATGGTTTGACTCTCCAAGTTTCAAAGAAAGGAAAAATGTTTTTCTGCATATAACTGCTGCAGTTCCGACTGCCAGAATGGCAGAGCATCTCTGCACCATGGCTTTGAGTGGTAGATGCTCTGATGGGTCTGGAGAAGCATCTCAGAGAGGAAGAACACTCAGTGCCATTTCCAAAAGATCCACATCAGTAGGTTGTCCTAATATCAGTACTGGAGCAAAAATTGATCTGAATACAACTGAATAGCAGGTAAAAGCTTTAGCAGTATTTTCTCCTCTCCTTTCATGGTTCAACTTCTGTAGGGATTCTTGCATAACTAATTCACTGCAGGAAACAAAGAGCATGAGCTTTGCTGTTTGCCTGGAAGTTAATGTTTCTATCATGGCATGTAACATTAGGTGAGTGATGCCTAATGTTGAAGCACTACCTTCTCGTTACTCTATTCAAGAGAGCTGTGTTTCTTCATACTTCTGTATCTTCAACTTGTATGAGTTTAAATCCCTTTGGAAGTATTCAAAAGGTATTTGGACTCAGTTCTAGACATTGTGGTGATCCAGCTTGAGCAGGAGGTTGGACCAAATGACCTCCAGAGGTCCCTTTTAGCCTCAGTCATTTTGCTGTACTTCGACCTTTCTTCTTTATTTTCTTCCACATCTGTAGCTGATGGGCATCTTCTGGAAGAAAATGATTTACTGGGACCAGGTATGAGATCTGTGTCCTCCCACCACAACAGTGTTCCGTAGTCTTGTCCATACTGTAGTAGGACATGCTGTAGCACGCCTCATGTACACTAGTACCTTGTCACCTTATCTTCCTTTGCTCTGAAGCCTTCTTAGAAATAGGCTTCTATGAAATCAGGGAGTTTCATTGTCAGGGGTTGAGAAGACCTTGCTTCCCAACTGTTGAAGCATGAGAGCTAATGTGCCCAATCATTCATGCTGCTGTTAAAATAGTTAAAAATGAAGTGTCTGGTTTTTTTTTGTTGTTGTTCTTTTTTTTTTTTTTTTTTTTTTTTTTTGTTTTTGTTTTTTAGATCTGGTAAAGTTAGTTGTAATGTGATTCTTTAGTGCACTTGTAACGTGTATGTATATGTATCAGACTGTGGAGGTAAGATATGTTAATTGGTTCCAAAACATGTCATTTTCCCTTGAAAGGTTTAAAATGTGTGGCACGAGCAGGGCTAAAGACAAAGTGTAGTGGCTGCCAGCTGGACATTAGAGAGGCTTGCAGGGAGATTAAACCACGCAGGAGAATGGCTTTTGAGATAAGGATAATCTTTTACATAAACCAAGTCTTCCAAGGCAGTTGAATGGGTGAGTGATAAGGGCAATAATAGAACTGCAGAATGACACAGCTGATAGTTATCCTGGTATTCAAAGATGATCAAGAAGTTGCCAGCAAAATAACGTCTCTTGATTACAGTGACAACGTATAAGCAGCACAGATACTTTTTTGCATGAAGGATCTCTTGATTAATATTCTCATTTTGTGTTCTTCAGGTCAACCCAGTAGCCATGGAAAGGTCTGCAACTTCTGACATGGCCTCTGAAAAGCCAAATCCTTCCCACAGTACAGGAGCTGTTCAGATGAGGATCAAAAATGCCAACAGTCACCATGACAGACTAAGCCAAAGCAAATCTATGATTCTGTCTGAGAATGTGAAAGTCCTTGAGCCTGTAAGTAAAATACTCCACATATTTCATGTCTTCCAAGTTTTTAAAAGTCACAGAGTTATCTTGGGTGTGGTTAAGACACCAGCTTCATGACAGTCCTTTGCACAAAAGGATTTAATGGCACTATTACATTCTTAGATGTATGGCTAGGTGCTGGAAGAACAATTTTCCTTTGCTGAAACACAGAATTTGGTGGCCAGAATAACGACAGTTGAGCTCTCAAGTGTTAGAGTGCTTAAATACAGCTGCTGTAGGGGATAATACTTACAGTATCAGAGATACGTCACAATTTCTAAACAGATGAAAACCAGACAAAGAAAGAAAGGAAAAAAAAGAAGGAAATTACAGTTCTGTACATAAAGGATAACTTTGCCAATAAGAAGAATGAGGCTTGCTGTAAGAATGAATTAACTGCAAAATTAAACACTGAAGAAAAAGAAACCTTAATATTTGAATAGTTGACAGAGTTGAAAGAGCTGACTCATTTTTTTATCTATTACTTTCTTTTTCCCCCTGAAATTAAGTAGTTAGCAATGAACTGTTCCGCCAGTTGTGTCCCTGCCCCTGTACTCCTCCTGAGCTACTAAACAAACTGATTGGTATGAGTCTCCCCTGGTTAATTTCCTTCCATAATAGTGGCAACTTGCAGCTGAGGCCATATAACGTTACAAAATTATTTATGCAGTGTTAGCCACTTTTTGGACTCCAGATCCATTTTGTTTTCAGAGAATGCAAATGAGGGAGAAAACTCTGGTGGCTGGGGACAGAGTCCCAAGTCTCGGTCACTTTTCGCAACCATGTAAGCTATTAATTTTTGTTTTGTTCATATAATGCATTCCAATGAAATAATCAGCTTTCTCAAAAAGTTACTAAGTGGAGAAAGTCAATTCTAGCAGCTGGATTTTCTACCCTAAATTCAAACTCAAAATTCAAGCTTTGTTGGAAATACATTTGTTATTCCCAAGTTTCTCTGCTATGCCTGAACCCATTTCAGGAACATGTATTTCTGCAAAGAACAAAAATCTCTTTATATGTATCATTTCTGATCAGTTTGAACCATTCCTACAATTTCCCACAACACGTTGCACGTGTTTCTTCCTTTTTATCCGAAGCAAAATGTTCTACCAGTACAAACCTGAGACAATGTTTATAGTAATTTACAGGGAATACTATAATGTATTATCGGGAAGAACTGTACCTTTGAAGAAGTTTAAAAGTTAAGTATATTTAATGATGCCTAACATATTTTATTGGCTGTGTTTAACAAAAGGCACTAGGCTGCAGTTGTTTTTGACAAGCATGAAAACATCACAGCATGAGACTGCAAAAGGAATTATGTAGAGAAATTACAAGTGATCCATCTCTCAATGAATTATCCACCTCAATAGCCTGCAGAACTCAGCTACCAATTAACACCTACTTTATTACATGTTGGGATGTACTTAATAACTTTCATGTGTTTATGCACTATTACCTTGACTGATGCCTCTTGTACAATTAGGCATAATTGGCATATCAATATGCAAAAGTTAAAAGGATTAACCCTCTTAAAACTAATGAGCATTTCTGTATCCAGCTGCTAAATGAGACAAAATTAGCATTTTTCACTTTTGGGCAGGATTTTATCATGCAGTTTCTCATTGTTGATATTACCTTGTTACATAACTTTAGATTTGGGGATAGTATGCAGGACTGTTACAGAGCAAGGGCTCTAAAAAGTTAAATGAGACATAAATATTTCCCACCGCATCCCAAAAACCATTGCAGGTATGATATCTGTTCATTGGCCGAGAGCTGAAAAGTTGCTTTGTGCCGCGTTTGTTTAGGAGCTAATTATCTAAAAGCAGAGTTTTACTATGTATATGTCATTTTACCCAGCAATCTTGGCTCCAATATAGTAGAATGAATGCTTGCCATGCTACTAATTTCCTTTCTATTTCGATTCTTTTCATCTCTTTTTGCCATGCTGAATTTTCTGACTAGATATTGACAGACTGAAAGTGGGCGTATTTGCTTCCATAAGCCCCTTAAAGTTGTTTGGTGACACCCCAGCCGAAAGCAAAATTCCTATGGATCCCTATGTTTTCAAATACTTGCATAATATGCAGTGCAATTTGAGTTAAAAGACCACTGAAATTTCAATTGCAAGTGTCAACTGCATGCCAGCAAATCTGTGCATGCGACTTGGGAAGGATTTAGGGAGAAGCAACGGGGGGGAGCAGTCCCTGGCATCCATGAGTCTGGAAAGAGCAGGGCTCAGCTTATAGACACATACATACACAGGTACATTCAAATTCAGTAATCCTCTTTAAAAATTCATGACATACTTTCTTGGTACACTCACAAACCTCACTTCTACATTTGGAAGCACGCAGACCCCCGCTGAAAGATGTGTATTACTCGTGTGCCAGGCTAAGCCAATTATTTTGTGCTAGAAGGAAAAAAAAAAAAAAAGGATCTGTCTTGATTTTCTGTTTGGAAATCTTCAATTTTTGAAGAGCTTGCCTCTGTTCAGATCATTACAAAGTATCCACTGATCATTGCTTGTTTTCGGTTTTACCTCAACTGTGTATTTTTGTCCTATCATTGGGGAGATTTTTATTTCTGCACCTATAAAGAGCTGAATAAAAGACTCCATGTTACTCTGTCTCTGCCCATATTAGGAATATGCCTACTATAATTCTATTAATAAATGGGTCAAATCCTCTTTACCTAACTTATGCAAAACATACTGACTCCAGTGGATTAGAGCAATCAGCATTTGGCACATTTTGAACAATCAGCAGAACTATATATTTATAAAACACGCTTGAAAAAAGAATAAAATCAACACTCTGGGCACAAAGGGCAAAAAACAGACACAAATCTAGAAAGATCGCGGGTGATTTATGGAGAAGAAAATACATAGTTTTCTCAGAGGGATTTGTTGTATTCTACAGTGTTGGCTGTGATGTTCCTAAGCACACCTGGGGCTATACTTCTGAAGGTGGACAGATTATTTTCGGCAGTGTGACAAAGAAGGATATGCATCATACATCAGCGGGGCCATATGCACTTATGCGTTTTGTGGTAGTAAAGATGCAAATGGGGGAGGCAGGAGCTAAGTCATGCAAAAGTGAAATGTGGATTCTTGGGGATTTTTGTTATTTATTTGCTATGGAAATGCTTGAGCATTGTGCAAAGGTTGAAATGGATATTAACGTAGAGTTTAAAGAGCATAAATCATGAAGCTGGACACACACTGTGGTAAGCAAGGGCTCTTTCTGTGCTTAATGTTAAAGTCTGAACCAGGAACGTAAATGAATATTTGCTATTTTCATCTCTTAAACCCCAGGGAAGTGCATTTTGCTTCATTCAGAACAACTTCAAACAATGAAACGTCTTTTTTTATTGGTGCCTGTATTAAGAATTAGAGCCTATTTAGACATTCCGAAATGGTAATGTATTAGAGCTTTTTCTGATGAGGTTAAACAAACTGGTAAGTTGATTTCTCCCTCTAATACATTACCATGGAGTGGGAAGCAATCTTCCTTTGTTTCTTACTCCTGTGATTGTAGCACACTTGCCAAAGTTATGGCTAGCCAAAAAGACAGAAATAAAATTGCTAAAAATATAAGCCTTCTGTTTAGCAGAGTTTTTGAGCCATATTTCACAATCTCGGGGCTTGTACATGTTTACTTCAAATCAAGCTTATAGTCAAGTTTGAGGCTTTGTTTGTATAGATTGTCCTGAAGTAGATCCTGATATTTAATTAAAATGACACTAAATCACATTGAATTGATAAGACTTGGCATCTCAAACAAAGGTAATTGCCCGTATTGGTTTTGTACAAAAATAGAGCTGCTTGGAAAATGTGCAGCCAACACAGACTGTCAACTCCATTTATAGATCAATATGTGAAAACCATTGATCAGGCAGGCATGTGTAACAGTAACACTTTGCATTTATTTGTTGTTTTTATACCATGTTAAGGCTTACAGGATTATCGGCTTCCAAAATATTTTGACTTCCTCATAAATATGTTATCTGTTTAATGTTAATTACAAGACAGACTCCAGCCCTCTTTTCGGTTTCATTGCTATGGGTAGTGTCAGCTGAAAATGGATTATTTCAATCTCCGAGAGATCATCACAGCTTCTTTTATCATATAGTTTATTTAGGGAAAGTTTCTGAGGATTTGTTTTTTTCCCAGTTTACTCTTTTTCCTGGAGGAAAAAAAAGATAAATCTTGACAAAATATTTCTAGGAGCAGAAAACCTCCTGCTTTCATTGCTAGAGTGGAAGGTGACATTTATTGACTTATTATGTTCTAACAGTGAATTCTCCCCAGATAATCATGAACTAGTCCATAAACATAGGTCCAGTGTTAATTCTGCAACATAAATATTGTCACAAAACACAGAAATATATCAATTGGAAAAACAAATATATCTGTTGTGCAACATTATCTTTATCCTTCCTAGAGCAGGAGAATGAGGAATGAAACACGCCATATGTCCTCTTGCTGTGTTCAGCCTGGTTCTGTACCTTCAGAATTGAGATCTGCTGTGTGTCATCCCAACTCACCCCTCTCATGTCTCTGTTTCCCCATCCATCCTGCTGCTGATGAACCTGAGTGCATGAGGATATTTCAGGGTTCTGTTTACTTCAGTGAGCAAGTTGCCCCATTGGAGCAATGGGATTTGGCTCTCAACCCTTTTTCAGGGTCTTTTTCTTAACTTGCAGACATTATTTCATCCCCATATCAGAGCAAGTCTCAGAACAAAGCTTTTTGTTTTTCTGGTGGTTTTTTTTTTCCTCTTCTGTGTACCCTGTGAGAAAGTATTCTCTGTTGTGTGTTGTATATTTTCTAAGACTTCAGCCAACATAATCTTTGCTAACAAGGAGGAAGTTAATTTTATTGTTAAACTGCCCGTTTTATTTACCATCCACGCATTTTCCCTGTACTATTTCAGCTGTGTTGCTTGATAGACAGCATCATAATGAGATCACAGAAAAATGAA